GGAGGAGGAGGAGGAGGAGGAGGAGGAGTGATAAGATGTTGAAATGTACTTACCCAATGAAATAAACTTATGAGGTATCGTGGTGAAATCAAGTATTTTTCAGAGTAATGAAATCGAAGAAATTCGCATTTTTCTGCCCATTGTGCATTTCTCATGTTTGTTTGTTTTGTTTTTTGTTGGGTTTTTTACTTCTTTTTTTTTTCTCTCAACGCCTGTTATGTCCATTTCGATAACAAATCTCTGTGTGAATTTTGCTGAAAGACGCTGATCAAATGTACAGAAAATGTAAAGTTACAATTTAATTTCCAAGGACTATCAATCTTAAAAAAAACCAAACTATTGCGGACATAATTTTCTTACTGTTACTGCCGCGGACAGTCGGCGACCACTACCTCTCTCAATCACAAATATCTTGGCTTCTATTCATGATACGAGACATAGATAGCAATGTTTTTATTATCAAAGCATGACAAATAAATAGCTATGTAAGATGATGCCGATTTGTATCTCCATATGCCCCAAAACTGAAGACGGCCTTGATTCCGCCGCGTCGCAACACCCATTTTAAGGCGAGATAACAAAATCTGTTTCTTTTTATAAACAGGTCGTACCTTTATTAGGTTTTTTCCCTTGCTTTTTTAACAGTTTTGAAGATATTTTTCTGGAGTATCTTAGGTCTCCCTCGCTGGATGTTGAATCCCTTCCAGCCAGGGTTGGCCCCCAGCAGACAGGGTTAGAAACCCGCCAACTATTTAAAGTCTATAATCTAAATTATGTCGATTGGGGGCGTAAAAAACACTTAAAAAGAATATTTTTTTAACCTCCTCAGAACGACCTGTCCAAAAAGTATAGCGTCTCCGGCATTCCCACTCTGGTCCTTGTGGACGCCAAAACAGGGGAGACCATCACGAAGGAAGGAAGGGGCATACTCTCCAACGCAGACTGCGGACAGTCGTTCCCATGGAAAAACTAAACAGCTCACTTCGCGAACATGCCATTAATATTAAATCAATCATTGTGATCTGAGATAAAGTTCCATAATATGTTTTCTTTGCTATTTCTTTTTATCTTTATACCCTTCCCGAAATGGTTCTGCTCATTTTTTATTTATATATATTTTTTATACTCTTTCTTTCGGTGATACATTTACGAAGCATTTTTTTATTTCTTATTTTTGGACATTTTTATTGTTTGATTTTAGACACGGATTAATCTCTGCCTACACTTAATACATTATTCATTGTTCTTATCATTGGGCAGGTGTGTTATGCGTTCACAAGGTTCGTGGATGTTTTCTGTCCATCAGATTGGACTGCGACATTTTTTCATTGATAACTTATTGTACTGTGACTGAATAAAAGTTGGTTAACAATTGATAGTCTTCGTTTTTGCTATCTCTTTGAATGAGATTTACTGTTTGATACAGTCAAATTTTGTTTTTTTCTTAAATACTTTTGTTGTTGTTGTTGTTGGACTGAATGGGAAAATCGAAGGTAATGCTAGCAGCTTGTGTGTGCATGTGTTTGTGTGTGTGTGTGTGTTCATGTGTGTGGGGGG